CCCAGCCCACTCCCCCACTGGCTCCTTCCCTAAGCTGTCTCCTCCATGCTCCCAGACAGAAACTAACTCTCCTCCAGCCTTGCCCCCCAGCCAGGGTGGCTGGCATTCCACCTTCCTTTGATTCTCTCCTTGGGGGGTAGCTGGTCAGACAGGTTTGGAGCCCCCTTTGCATAATGACTCATCCCCTGTCCTGCTGGGTCGTGCTACAGACAGCAGAGGTCGCCCACAGCCCTAGCAAGTTACCCCCACTACGTCACAGGGGGTTCTGGCCTGGCACAGCTCAAGGTCCTGCTGAGGTGCCCAGGCATGCCTGGGGAGGAATAGCAGACCGCCTGCATCAATAAAAATTGGCACTCTGCTGCTTTGCTCGGCTCTTTCACTCTCTTGGGGGAATGCCGGGCCAGGCTGCTGGGTATGGGGGAGGGGAGTGGCACTGGAAGCCCAGGCAGTGTCCTCTGAAGATAATGCTGAGCTCCCTGAGAGAGGAATTCAGGAATCCCTAAGAAGCCTGCTCATTAACCAAACTCCCGGCTGTGTCTAGACTGACCAGTTTTTCTGGAAAATCGGCTGCTTTTCCGGGAAAAACTTGCCAGCTGTCTACACTGGCCGCTTGAATTTCCGCAAAAGCACTGACTTCCTACTGTAAGAAATCAGTGCTTTTTGTGGAAATACTGTGCTGCTCCCGTTCGGGCAAAAGTCCCTTCTGCGCAAAAGGGCCAGTGCAGACAGCTGAGATTTGTTTTGCACAAAAGCGCGTCTAGATTGGCTATGGACGCTTTTCCACAAAAAGTGCTTTTGCGGAAAAGTGTCCGTGCCGATCTAGCTGCTCTTCTCTGAAAATGCTTTTAACGGAAAACTTTTCCGTTAAAAGCATTTCTGGAAATTCATGCCAGTCTAGACGTAGCCCCGGTGTATTCGGGGTGAGCGGAGAAGGAGATCTCTGTGGGTGGAGTTTGGTTAATACACAGGACTAAGGGTTCTCTGCGGCCTAGGCCCACACTTAGGCCTATATTTCCTGTAGTGGGGGGTACCTCAGCACTGGGGTGCCCCAGTGTTTAGAGGTGCTGAGCATCCCCAGCTGGACACAGCAGGAGAAGACAGGCTGGCAGAACGCCACCAGGCCCTACCCAGCTTCCACCCCTTCAGCTAACAAACAGCTCCACACAGCAGACCCCCCGACAGGAGTAGCTGGGCCTCCCTACGCCCTTTGGGGGGGAGCTTGCACTGTGCGAAGCTGCAGGAGTCTGCCTGCCCCCTTGTGCAAATCCAGAGGGCAGGGTCCCGCCGGTGCCGTCTCTTCACTAATTTAGAGATTGCCTACAGTGACTTCTTATCTACACCATGGGTTTAGCCATTGATTTCCCCAGCAGTAATTCGTGGTGAAACTTCAGTTCAACCTACAGCACCCACAGAGGTTTCAGGAGAAAGAGCCTCGCCTCACAAGCCCCTCTTGTACCCTGACGAGGACAGCTGAACTGCAGGGCGCAAAAAATCCTGCCTTGATTGTGAGGTAGAAGGAGCCAAACGCTGCCCCCTCCAGCCCTCTCACGATGAAGAGAGGAGATTGTGCGCGCGCGCGCACACACACACACACACACACACACACACACACACACACACACACATACCTTATTCCTGGGTAATTTTCATGATATTTCTCTCATATTCTTTCAGAAACAACCATTATTTGGGGCTTTTCAAAATATCTGAAGTTGATATTATGTAACAGGACACACACATCACAACCCTCATTCCAGGCGGCTGTGAAGCTGAGGCAGGCGAGTGGGGAACGGCAGGCAGCCGCTCGGTGTAGGCATTGTGTCGTTACTATGCCTACCATCTAGGCCTGTTCCCATAAGGTGACAGAGTCATGGTGGAAGGGGCTGAGGGCTTTGGCAGCAATTATTTGCACTGCAGTCAAGCCCCTCCTCCTCCCCCTTCCCACACACCAATTTGCCTCGTCTTGATGTTTTTTCATGGAAATTCCAACTCCATTCACTTGGCTGAGGTTTGGCCTATTTTCAGGCACCCCGGGAGGCCTTGTCACACGTGCAGAATCATTTCACTATTTGGGGTTTTTAGTTGGATTTAGTGCCAGACCGGCAACCCTAGAGCCACGTCCTTGCTAACCCCCAGAACAAAAGGCCCCATGGGCAGCAGCAGCCCGAGATGCTCCCTGCCATCGTGCCCCAGCCCTGACATAGACAGGTCAGCTCCACGGGGACCAAGGTCTCTGCCGTCCTGCCTCATAACGTTGTCAGCCTCTCTGCTAAGCCACAAGGCTCTTAATATTCCTTTCTGATTGGGAATTTCAAGACACGCTTCCTTGTCTACTTAGAACATCCTGGCGGCCCCAGATCACTTCATCCAGTGAACCCAGGGCTCGTGGCTTTCAGTCAGTGCTGGGCTGGGCTGACTTTCAACCCGCAGAGGTGAAAGTTGCCAGCTTCCCTTAACAAGGCTTCTGCTTTTTATTGATAGTAGCTCCCACTGCCTGCTTCATCAAATATGCTTGAGCCAGCCAGAAATCCCTTCCTGCCACATGCCCTCACAGTCTGACGCCAGGGACACACTTTCTCTCTACTTCTTATATAGCCATATATATGATGCCCTCTCTTTTGGTGCCTCAAAGGCGTTGCTGCATAAGAGAGTGAGAATTATGATCCAGGGGCAGGGAGCAGAGGTGACCCAGGCCTGTGGGAAGGAGGGGGAGGGAGAAAAGGAGGGGGTAGTGTGAGGACACCTGACTTCAGCAATTGAACACAATATTCCAGCTGAAGCCTTAAGAATGCTGAGTGGACCAGGACCGTCACCTCCCCTGCCTTACACACAGCACGCCTCTTAATATACCCCAGACTGATGTTAGCTATTTTCTCGACTGCCATCACATTGTTGACTCATTCAGTGTATGATCTAATGTACCCCACAGATCCTTTTCAGCTATACAACCACCTCGCCGGTAGATCCTCACTTTGTAGCCATGCATTTGATTTTTTTTTCCTTCTTAAGGGAAGTACTTTGCCCTTGTCTGTATTGACTTTCATCTTGGTGGTGTCTAATGTATCAAGATAGTGTTGGATTCTAATCCTGTCCTCCAAAGTGCTTGCAACCTTCCCAGCTTAATGTCATCTGCAAACTTTATGAGCACACTCTCCACTCCACTGTCCAAGTCATTAATTAATGAAAATATTAAAGAATGCCAGCCCCAGAAACGGCCCCATTCGATACTCCTGGTCTGACAGCGAACCATTGACTACTAATGGATCATGGTGTTTCAACAAGAAGTGCACTACCATGTAATCATTTCATCTGGACCATATTTGCCTAGTTTGCTGATAAAACTGTCATGCGGGACTGCGTGAAAAGCCTTACTAATATCAAGTTACATCACATCTACTGCTTTTCTCCTATTCACTAGGCCAGTGGCCCTGTTAAAGAAGGAAATTAGGTTGGATTGGCATGATTTGTTCTTGACAAATCCATGCTAGCTATTTCTTATAGCTCTCTTGTCCTCTATAGATTGACTGTTTAAGTATTTGTCCCAATATCTTTCCAAGTATTGAAGTTAGGTAGACTGGTCTATAATTCCCTGGATTCCCTTTTAAAGATGGGTCTATGTTTGCCCTTCTCCAGTCATGTGGAACCTCACCAACCCTCCATGAGTTCGCTGATGGTTCCGAGATTGTTTCAGCGAGTCCCTTCAGTACCGTAGGGTGACTTTCATCAGGCCCTGCCGATTTGAATGCATCTAACTTATGCAAATATGCTTAAACCTGTTCTGTTTTGGCTTGCCTTCCTCCCCCCTTGCTGTTACTATCAGTTATGTTGATTATCTGGTCACTATTGACCTTTTCAATGAAGGCTGAATCAAAGCCGATATTAAACACTTCAGCCTTCTTGGTGTTTTCAATTATTCTGTCTCCTTTCCCACTAAGCAGAGGGCCTACACTTTCCTTCATCTTTCTCTTGCTCCTAATACATCAAAAGAATCTCTTCTAATTGCCTTTTGTATCCATTGCTAGGTATAACTCACGTTGGTATAACTTAGCCTTTCTGGTTTTGTCCCTACCTGCTTCGTTCTCCTCCATACCAATTCTTCCATGTTTCTACTTTTTGTAGGATTCCTTGGATTTTCAGGTGGTTAAAGAGCTCCTGAGGGAGCCATATCGGCCTCTCAGTATTCTTCTGATCTTTCCTTCACACTGGAAGGGTATGCAGTTGCTTTTAATCATGTGTTTGAGAAACTGCCAACTTTTCTGATCTCCTTTCTACCATAGATCAGTGATTCCCAACCAGGAGTCTGGGGGCCACTAGCAGGTTTCAGGGGGGCTGACAACTAAGGCCAGCCTTAGACATGCTGAGGCCAGGGCAGAAAGCCAAATTCCACTTCATGGGGATGATGCTAAAGCCTAAGAAATGTAGCTTCGGGTGTGGGGGGCCCTCTGGTGTGGGGGCTGGGGGCATTGCTCTGTTAGCTACTCCCTGATACAGGCCTTGGCTTTTCTATGCAGGAAAACAATTGTTGAGATGCAGGTGGGGCAGGGAGTTTTTATAACATGCGGGGGGGGACCTCAGAAAGAAAAAGGTTGAGAACCCCCACCATAGGCTTTCTTCCCATGGCACTTTACTGACCAGCTCTGCCCATCAGAAATGTTTTGCCAGACTTTGTACATGTTCTGTTGTGTCTCCAATTTCAGCCCGACGTAGCCATGCTCTGACTCTGGTGTTAAAGAGCAGGAGAGCGGTGGATGAACTGCAATAATATGCAAAGGAGAGAGCTTGAATCAGTGACAAGGCCAGCCCGTTCCTCCCCTTAGAAATCTCGCTCCATGTAGCTTCAGTCTTCCAAAAGCAGGCACCGTTCCCAACATGCATCATGCAGTCCCGTGGGTGCAAAAGCTTTGGAGACATGTCCGATGTCTCGGTGGCCGCCGGAGTGAGAGGAGGGTCCAGGGTGTTTCCCATGGGAGAGGCTGACGGTTGTGTGTTTTCTCTCCCAGGACTACACCATCACCATGTATTTCCAGCAGAGCTGGCGGGACAAACGCCTCGCGTACAGTGACCTTCCTCTGAACCTGACTCTGGACAACCGAGTGGCTGACCAGTTGTGGCTTCCTGACACCTACTTCCTGAATGACAAGAAGTCCTTCCTGCATGGGGTGACAGTGAAGAACCGTATGATCCGGCTGCACCCAGATGGAACGGTGCTGTATGGGTTGAGGTAAGCGCGGGAGGAGTTTTCGTTAGTTGTACGGTCGTGAACAGCCTTGCCATCCCCTTGCATAAATATCTGGCCACACACAGAGCAGCTCTCAAAATCCGTCTTTGAAGGAAGCACAATGTGGCCAAGAAAGAGTTGTTCTAAAGACTTTTAAGTGAGCTAATATCACATTCCACCCCAGAGGCGGTTGCATTTCAGTAATGGGTAAAGTGATCCCTATACTGTGCTAGACCGGTATTAGGGGTAGAGAAATAATTGAGGTCGCATACTGTTTCAGGTTGCTGGAGTTCAAGTTGCATAATGTTCCCATTTGAAATACCGCTTTCAAAAGATCCCAGTGTGGCCTAGGTGACAGAGCACTGGTCTGGGACTCAGGAGACCAGGTTCCTACTCCCAGCTCTGCCGTTGGCAACCTTGGTGCAAGTCACTTCTCCTCTCAGTGCCTCGATTTCCCCATCTGTCAAATGGACATATGATACACATCTCCTCCGTATAGTGGTTTGAACTCTACCGACAAAAGGCACAATATAACCGCTCAGTGTTTTAATGATGATAACATGTTACAGGTTGGACGACTGGAGATGAAATTTTCCAGGTCTGCTCTCAGCCCAAGGGTGAATTTTAATTGAAAGTTTGAGACAAATCAGATTAGCTGTTTCTTAATATGAGACTGCATAAATTTATACTTTTCCCAGTATAAAATAAATAATTTCTTGCAGCTTTTTTTTTCTGGCTGGCACTGGTGCCAGGATGATTGAGTATAGAAAGTTTGATAGTTAGCAGGGAAATTGTGCACGGAGGAGAAATGGCTTTGGGTGTCCAAAGAGAATTAGTTTTCATTTAGCTGATTATGAGTTTCTGAAAATGTACTTTGTGCATGAACAGAGCAACTGTTGAGGATTTCTGTAAGGCTGTGGACATTATTTTGAAATAACTACATTCAACTTAATAACTCCCAATTTTACAAAATCGAAATAGCATCTCCACACTACAGGGAAGCCTCGAAATGAGTCCAAGGCAGGCTCCGTGAATGCAGACGTGCTTCCTCAGACTTATAGCCCCAGGAAGCTCTGGGGAGTAATTAGTGCGAATGACTCTGGGGAGTCGTTATTTCGAAATAGCTGCACCGGAGCATCCATACTTCGGCTATTTTGAAATAACCATTTCAAAATTAGCATTCTTCCCTGAAAAAAGCGGGAGTACAGATTTCGGGAAAAGCGGGCCGTTATTTCCCGAAATTATGGGCTTGGTCATGTAGATGACCTGCTTATAAATTCAACCTAAGTGGAGTTATTTCAAAATAATTCCCTAGTGTAAACCAGGGCTAACTGTGTGTGTCCGCGCATGTGTTAGGAGAAGCACAACAGATAGACCCACTGAGTGGAGATGGGGGTGAGGAAATGGGAGTTAACACCTACAGCCCAGGCCAAAAGTGCATTCTGAGATGCCATAGCTGAAATCTGGGACACAATTTCCCTGCTTCTCCACTTGTTGCCTCAGAGTTGTTCTTCTCCGGGGCGTCTTTTGCCCAAGTTTTCACAAGGCTCTTAGACCTGCCTCCAACCATCGCAAGTAAAGGAGAGAGCCACCTTGGGCTTACTTGCCATGCCAGAAAACGGGAAGGAGACATCTCCATTTGGAACAGACTGTATTGGTCTTTCCCATACACAGCACCAGCCTCCGTGATGCTGCATGGTTTGGAGGAGTTTCCACCCCATACACTAGGGCCATGTCCAGACTCAGGGGTTTTTTCGGGAAAAGTAGCCTTTTCCCGAAAAAACTTCCCCTGCGTCCAGACTCAAGCCGCGTTCCTTCGAAATTATTTCGAAAGAACGCGGCTTTTCTTTCGATGGCGGTAAACCTCAATTTACGAGGAAGAATGCCTTCCTTCGAAAGTTCCTCTTTCGAAGGAAGGCGTTCTTCAATGTAAAGAGGCCGTCTTCGAAAGAGAGCATCCAGACTCGCTGGGTGCTCTCTTTCGAAAAAGCGGATTTCTCTTTCGAAAGATCCGCCTGCAGTCTAGACGCGATCTTTCGAAAGAGCCACTTTCGAAAGAAGCCTGCAGTCTAGACATAGCCTAGTAGGGAACAATTCCTTCCTACTTCCTACAGCTGAAAAGAGTCAGATCCGCCCTGGGCAGGCCACCTCCAGGGGGAAGCAACGATCCTGGTGTCCGGGCTAAGGAGGACGACGATGGGTGAGGCTTTTGCCTCTGTTAACGAGAGGCTCCTGTGAAGGTCTGTGTTTAAATGAAACACTGGCCTTTGGGTGGCCTGGAGACGTCTCCCTTGATTGGACAGATCACAATGCAACCCACCACAAAACTCATGAGAGGTTCAGAATCAAACCTGGGACCACTGGAGCTTAACGCATCGGCCTCTACGGTATGAGCGAAAAGCCAGCTGGCTTGTAGCTATGGGTGTGGAAGAGATTCATTATTATCTCTATACGTCATCTCATTGCCACTCGATGGGCTAGTGCACCACACCTAGAAGGTATGTGGGTTACACAATTCCTATTGCATTCGGTGGGCGTTCCCACTGTTCCTCCCAGGCCACAGAGAGGCACCTTGTAATGTGATGAAACCGCGGTATTCCGAGGGACACTTTAAGAAGTCCAGCCATCACCTGCATGGAGGTTTGAGGCAACATTTTCTTAGGGGCCTTTGATTTGCACCTGCATTTCTGCTGACACCAATAACTGCGAGGTGCAATTTTGCAGTCCTCAAATCATTTCTAGCATATTCAGTAGCATGGAGACACCTGACTGGCAGGTGCAATTGGGTAGCTAAACCATGAAGTGCTGTAAAATATGCTCCTAGTTATTAACATCCACAAAACTGCACCCTCGGTTATTTGCATCTGCAAAAACATGGGAGCAAAATCTGAGGGCTCTTCTGAACTTCAGGTCCTTTTGGTGTATTTTGATCTGTTGGGTTCTGTAACATCCGGGGGTTTCTCTGAAGGGCCAGTCTTCCATACAGAGCTTCCAGAGTGGAGAAATTCGATACACAGTGCTAACCAAGGAGATTTTGATTTCTATCTTGTGGTTTTCATAGTCTTCTTCCTGGCCCTTTTTGCTAGGTGCCCATAGTTGTGTTTGTTTATTCGCATGTCTCCTTCTTTCCAGTCCCATTCTCTCCTTCCCATTGATCTTACGGTGGAGTTACTCCCTCCTGCTGTGGCTTCTCCCTCATTTTATTTGCAACAGACTGTGGTGTCAGAAATACAGGGGCCTGTTTTCGTGGCCGACTCTCACCGCCGGGGCTGGGACACAACTGAGATACAAATACCTCAAAAAACAGAATTGGGAATTAAGAATGCTATAAACGAAGGGATTTAAGCCCACACTTCAGGTCCAGAAACTCAACACCTTGCAAGATGGAGCCCCCAGGGTCCGTTTAAGGTCCACTGAAGTCACTGGAAACTGTGCTGTTAATGTCAATGGGGCTCCACATAATTTGTTTCCATGGGCAAATGAGGCCTTTTCCCTCTTCCCCTTTGCTCTAGTGTGACAGTCCCTCTGTTGTGGAGAAGCAGCCATGCTTGGTTTTCATAGAATTAGCGGATAGGTGGAGGAAGAGAATGCAGATGTCATATAGCTTCATCTCGGGCAACCGTGCGATACACAACATCTCACACCACAACTAATTTGTATCGGCTTGGACTGAGAGCTAGTTGGAAGACCAGAATGAAATGGGACCCGAAAGGGCAATGTATCGAGTCAGCAAAGGTGCTCTGTGGGTGTGCCATGTCATGTGATTGGCGCTGGGACTGGTCTCGTTTAACACCTGCATCCGTTTCCTAGGAGACGACTTACAAAGCAGTGTAATGAAGTGCCCAGATGATCCTACACTGGGAGGAGTTGCAAACAGCAGTGAAGGGGGAGATATCCTGGAAGCCACGAACCCCGGAGGAGTCATACAGGGGAGCAGAAAATAACCAGACCTGATTCAGTCTCGAGGAATATGTGCAAATATGTAGGAAGGGCAGCCCCAGACTCTGGGCGGGGCATCTGGGAGGCCATAACGTGAGAAGGGAGACTGCAGTGACATCTGGAATGCCCCTGGTTCCATGGAAAAGGGCAAAGCACAAATAACTTGGCTGGAAGGATTAGCCTAGGGCCGATCTTCTCCCTGTATGAGCTGCGGTGGAAAAGGTCCTTGACCCTCAGGGTTCAGAGCCATTGGATAAATGTCGGTTGCGCCAGTAAAAGAGTGAGAGATAAAAGAAACACGATAGAAATTGAATCAAGCCACTGCATCTCCATGCCGGGCCTTGTGCGGGCCAGTCCTACGTAAGCTACTCCTCCCAGATGCAGTCTCTCTGGCAAGGCTCCGTTGGCCCTGCATTTGCTCCTCTGCTGTTCCCATCCCAGCCACTGCACCAGTCTGTCAGTCTAGCTCTGCGGCACCCCAAGGGTTTAAATATTGCCCTCCCCCCACAATTTTGTCAACTCACCTCTATCCTGATCTATGCCACTCCCTTGCTGTTCTATTTCCCGGCCCCTTCAATCTCCCTCAATTCTGAGACACGTCAAATCCCATTTAATCGGTGAACTGCTTACACGAGGGCGGGCGGGGGGTTGGGCTGGAGAGCCCCCACTTGTGGTGGGCAGCTCTGGCCAGTCTGGGCCCGCCACACACGGGGGCTGCTTTGTCCAGGCTGGAGTGCCCTCCACCCTCAGCAGACCTCTCCAGGCTGGAGCGTCGGGCGCCCCATGTCAGGCTGGAGCAGCCCCCACCGGTTAACTGGAACTGGTGAGCATCACCCGGTTAGCCATTCACATCCCTAAAGGTAACGGGAGAGAGAGGCTGGGTAGGAGCCATGCTCCTTCAGCTTTTTGGCCAGCTCTTCGGGGCTCTGCGCTCCAGCCATGGCTAGCCGCTTGTGTTAACTGGCTGCAGCACCGCAGTAAGGAAAGAGCAGCCAGGGATTTGTAAACCACCCAGGGCCGTCCGACGCTGGGTTCGCTGCCAGGCACAGAGCCACGTTTGCCAG